GGTCTGCGCTCTGCAGCATCTCCAGATGGAAATGGAGAGGAACTCATAGCCTGGGGAGAAAAGAAGCTGTTTTATTCCTTTTCTGAAGATCTCAGATCACCCGGTGGGAAGTCATTACTTCTCAGAGCAGGGATGAGCTCAGCTAGAGAGGAACATCTTAACCCTAGGAGAAGCAACCAGTGAAATCATAATAGTTTTGGCTTCGATGAGTCAAATGAGGCGTGTGTGTCTATGTGTGTGTGTGTGTGTGTGTGTTGTGGGACACATGGGGGGTTTTCAAGGATGAAAGGAGTGTTCTTTATACCTCCATTGCGGAAAACTGACTCAGTTTTGGAGGTACAGCAGCAAGTCTAATATAAACCAGGGGTGGGTGTTGTGTCCTGAGCCTGCAAATGCAGACTCGGGACATTGCAAGGGTCCCCGGGCTTTGCAGAAGCTGCCCGGGACCAGACTGAGTGGCGCTGACCTTGTGTGCATGCGCAAGGCGCGAAAAGTGCCTGACTATGTTGCCATTATGTCCGGGGATTTGGGACGTATAAAAGGAGGCCTGCGTGCCTTTGCTCATTGTTGGAGTTTTGACTGAAAGCACAATAAAGAGCTGTTCTGGAGAAATGTGTCTTATTTTATTTATTTTATTTTTAAGATGTATAAACCGCCCCACTCCCGCAGGACTCTGGGCGGCTAATAATAAAAACACCATAAAACATGACAAAACAAACAGTACAATAACAGTCATCCAGGGGTCAGATTTTATAAACCCCAGGCCTGCCGGAAAAGCCAGGTCTTAAGCAGCTTGCGGAAAACCAACAGGGTGGGAGCGGTCCTAATCTCCGGGGGGAGCTGGTTCCAAGACGTGGGCGCCATCACAGAGAAAGCCCTCCTCCGCGGCCCCTCCAAATGGCACTGCTTGGCCGACGGGACCTGAAGGAGGCCCAGCCTGTGGGATCTAACCGGACGAAGGGAACTATGAGATAGTAGGCGGTCTCGCAAATAGCCTGGCCCTGAGCCATATAGGGCTTCATCATTCGCCATCGCTGCGAGGACTTAACAGTGGGCATTATGGTAACCTGTGCACTTCAACTCCCAGCATTGTGGGAGTAGAAGTCCACAAGTCGTAAAGTTGCCACAGTAGTCCACCCCTGATATAAATACTCTCACTCTCTGCCAACTACTCTAGGAGGACTAAAAAGATTGCTAATCTCTGACTTAGTTTCCCTAAGAGAGGAAGAAATGGCTATTAAATCAGGCATGCGTAATCAAAGTACTTGAGGTGTTGTAAGCTTCTGTTATCTGAATCTAATCCAGCCCAGGCGGATATCTCCACTTATCAACTATAAAGCAATCTAATAACCGCTAATGAAATATTTATTGGCTTTAAAAAAAAAGTAATCAGGACAATGCGATGTGGAGCTTAGAGGCAGAAACTCAGGGAAGAACAGCCGAAAATAAAATGTTTTCGTGCATGCAAATCGGCGCGGAAGATCTGAAACGCCTTTTCTTTTGACAGTCAGAAAAAGCACCGTGCTAGATGGATTAACGCTCTCTGCAGTTTTGATGGGTGTGTGGGGAGGACTGCCAACTTTTCATTTGATCCCGGGAGTTGCGTCCTTCGCAAAAGGCAGAAGTAGGTGAGAGTGGCTTTTATTGATCAGGAAAAGTTTCTTGAGATGATTGCTTTAGCGGGACTTGCTATTAAAGGCACTGGAGTACTGCAGAATGATTACAAGATAGTCCTCGGCGTACGGCTGTAAGGGAGCCTGCCCACTGCAGTCATACGTTGTGACCGTTGTAAAGCAGGTCACTTACATTATGAATACCTAATTCATAATAAAAAAAATTACAGGCAATCCTCTACTTCAGACATGTCAAACACAAGGCCCGGGGGCTGGATGCAGCGCGCGAAGTGGTTTCATGTGGCCCGCGAAGCCATCCTGGAAACAGTGAGGGAACGGTCCCCGCTGCCTTGGCCCTGACCCAGGCCAGCTGGGAGCCAGTGTACAATTTTGTGGTGGCCCTCTATGCTGAAATGCATTCAGTCTTAGCTCCACAAGGCCGTCTAGAAACAGCGAGGAACCAGCCCCTGCCGCGTCAGCATCGTCCCCTGGGTGCATGCTGGGGGGGGGGTGTCACCCTTTGTGAGGAATGAAGAAATGGACCATGCCTTGGCGCTTGCCCTGGTCCCACCCCCTTCTGCCAGAGACCCTCAGATCTGTCCCACTCCTGTCCAGGCCCCCACAGGCACCCTTGACGCGAGCGATGTAGAGCTGGCCACACCCACCCAGTAGGCCACATCCATTCCATCCATGCCCACCCAGTAGGCTGCACCCACCCTGGCCACACCCACCCAGCCCCCTGAGGGCAACCGCAATGCTGATGCAACCCTCAGTGAAATTGAGTTTGACACCCCTGCTCTACTTTGTTGTTGTTGTTAGTTGCGAAGTTGTGTCTGACCCATTGCGGCTCCATGGACAATGTTCCTCCAGGCCTTCCTGTCCTCTACCATCTTCTGGAGTCCCTTTAAGCTCACGCTTCCTGCTTCAGGGACTCCATCCAGCTATCTCATTCTCTGTCGTCCCCTTCTTCTATTGCCCTCAATCTTTCCCAGCATCAGGCTCTTCTCCAGTGAGTCCTTCCTTCTCATTAGGTGGCCAAAGGACAAGTTTCAACTTCAGGATCTGGCCTTCTAAAAAGCAGTCAGGGTAGTGACCTTTCAAAGTTACAACTGCACTGAAAGAAGTGACTTATGACCATTTTTCACACTTATGACCACTGCAGCATGTGATCAAAAGTCAGACTCTTGGCAACTGACTCATGTTTATGACGGTTGCCGTGTCCCGGAGTCATGTGATCCCCTTTTGCAAGTTCCTGACAAGCAATGGGGAAGCCAGATTTACTTTACAACGGTGTTAATAACTTAACAACTGCTGTGATTCACTTAACGACTGTGGCAAGAAAAGTCATAAAAAGGGGCAAAACTCACTTAACAAATGTTTCACTTAGCCACATAAATTTTGGGCTCAGTTGTGGACGTAGGTCGAGGATTATCTGTACATAAATGTGGACATAATAAAACAGCCCATCGTATAATTCCCATCATAGTGGGAATTATATATGTGAAAGATTAACCTATTTCAATGTCATGTATTTAACACTCTAGTCTTCAACTTTTTGTAGGTCTTTTAACCGGATTCTGTAACCTTGAACCCAATTATGTTTGCCCCTTATTGTCTCCCCCAAAATGTTTTTCCCCCCTTTCTCTCTTTCTTTTCATACCTTACAGAGGCCAGAGACATTTTGCTGTAGAAACACAAAAATGCATGCCTATCTTACTTTATTTATCAAGTTTACTTGCCCCTCATCTCATGAGTGTCTTACATCAGGATGAAAGACATATGACCATGATTTTAAATATAAAAGTGAATTCAAATTTTGGGAGAGACATATGAACCTCTTTCTGGAGAAGTTTGCTCGGGTCACTTAAGTTGTGTGAACACGGTTGTTTACTTAAGTTGTGTGAACACTGTGTCTACTTCATGGAGTTTTTGTGAGGGCTGTATGGGAGGGAATCAACCCATCCTTTTGAAATGGCGCAAAAGAATCAGTAGATACAATAAGCACTCATCTGTTACCTTTGAAAAAAGAATTGGTTCATAATTTGATAGTCAACACGAGGGAATTCTGTTTCTCTCATTTTGTAGGAGAACTTCAGATGGGAGACCTCTGGTAGTTGACACAGGTGTGCAGTGGCTTGGTCCTAATTTTCTCTGGGAAAAATGCAAAGTCCTATAATTGAACTGCTACCCACTCCTAGCCTCCTTCTGGACCACTGTTTCTTAACCTTTAGGACTTTAAGATGTGTGGACTTCAATTCCCAGAATTCCCAAGCGGCATCTTCCCAAACTTGAGAAACAATGTTCTGGACCAATCCAGGAAACCATATAGGCCGAGGGAACCAATCCCTTGCTACCCGAGGACCAAGTCCTCAGGGAAACTTCTATATTGCTTGTTGTCTACGTTGGCCAACAAAGCAGCCCTTGGAGGCCAGTCCAGTTGACTCAAGATGGTTCCACTGTCTAAATAAATCAATGCTATTTCTTCTTAGAGAGAGAATGAGGATATTGACCCATGAAATCAATGCCTCTTCACCTGGTTTTATAATGTTTGAGGTCAGGGTTTCCCAACCTCAGCAACTTTAAGATGGGTGGACTTCAACTCCCAGAATTCCACTCAGCATTCCATTCTTAAACCTGCTGAGGTTGAGAAGTCCTGCCCTGTCTAATTAGTAGATGGTCTTCAGCTGTGGAAGTGCCTGCCTGTTCTCCTGTAATGGCCTCCTCCATTTTAGTTCCTGCAGCTCAACTTTGGACAAATTATTTATTCATGGGTGCTTTCAGGAGCCTGACCTTTTATCTATTCTACAATGAGCATTTTTCTTTAGGTTCACCTGAGAGGTTTGTTTTGTTTTGTTTTTTTTGTTTCTTAGGCCAGATTCTCACAACATGCTATTTCCGGCTTAGTGTGTAGGAATGCAGCCATTTGTTTTGTAAACCACCATTCGTGGCTCAACGTGACATTTAAACCCAACTGAATAACTGCAGAGCCTGGATTTCGGATGAATTCAGTGAGAGACGGAAATGGGCAACTTAAATAGTTTTCCTCCTTGTCTGAATGCCCTGAATGAACGACAGGCTAAATCTCATAGGCCTTGGGTGAACCAAAATGGCAGGACTTTGGCCCATCTCGAGAGATTCAAATCAATAGCCCTTAACTTCCAGATCATACTTAAGGGTTTAATTCCATAATTAAAAAACGCACATTACAGAACAACCCAGTCCCTGTTGTATAAGGAGCCTCTAAACGCTGGTGCTGAGGATTTAGTCCAAGTAATAATTGTGAGGCATGATCAATATGCAAAAGGCTATTGTTAGGGAGATACTAAAGTTTGCATTCTGCCTCGTTCTCAACGGCAATTTGATGGAATAACTCCAGCTAGCAGCAGAGGGAGCTAAAGAAATGGAAGTTAGCAACCAGAGGTTTTGCAAAGGCACTGAAACATCAGCTAAATCTTTTAAAAAGAAGACGGGAGCAGATCAGGGGAGAGAGAAAAAGAGGAATTGCTCTCAGACACCCCCAAATCTTTCCCTAATAAGGCAGCTTCTCCAGGCCAAAGAGGAAGGAAGGAAGGAAGGAAAAGAGGAAGACCCCCCCCCCAGCAAAGTGGACAAACATTTGTTTGTTTGGAAATGTCTCTTCCTTCTGGCAACCTGGAAGATGCAGCAAAGCAAAGACCCAGAGATGGCAAAATGAGGAGAGAGGAACTGGACGATCCACAACCTGAGGGAAAGAGGCTGAAGTTGGGCAGCAACGGGGGACATCTGAGGAAAGAAGGAGCAGAAGACCAGGAGAAGACACCACATCTGGGGAGAGAAGAATCTGGAACTCAGACTGATGGGGAAGGCCAAACTGTAAGTAGAGATGTTTCTGTTTGGGGCACAGAGCCTTGTGTGTGTGTGTGTGTGTGTGTATAGGGGGGGAATTTTCTCCCCTGGGTGTTGTTTTTAACTGACTTGTTTTGTGGAAGTTGATCAAGTCTTGCAGAGGTGGACCCTGTTGAGATGAATTGACTGTAGCTGCGAAACAATGGGGATCTGTTTTGCTCATTTGTCTAGAAGAGTTTGCAGGTGATAGCTGGGACTTCTGAAGGTGTTGTTTGCCCCCCCCCAAAAAAAAGTTTTTTCCTTTGGCTCCTTCTGAACGAGGCAGAAAAAAAATCTGTTGGGTAGGGGTATCTGAATTGTTCATCGTCTAGGCCCTCTGACTCATTCCTGAATCCAGCAGAACGATATACCGGCAAGCGGCATGTTATCATTGGAGAACTTTTTTTTCTTCTTCTTCTGGAAAATGACTTTGAAAAAGGAAAAAGTCATTGTGGTGTGGTTGGCTTGAGGGGGGGGGGGGAATTGATATTTCTATGACCGGATCAGCTAAGCTCCTGAGTATTACGGTTCTTGAAATGGCTTAGGTGCATGCCAGGACATGCTGAGAGAGAAAGAGAACATGAGTCAGAATTTTAAATCCCTTTATCTTCTCCTATTTTGCAATGCAGCTGGGTTATTCTCCCCCCCCCCATGTCTCTGCCTCTGTTGTTTTCCCTCTAGCTAGGTGTGAACACAGGGATTATTCCATGCAGAGAATCGGAGCTGCTTTTAGTTAAGTCAGCTGCAGAGACAAACTTTGTGACCCTGTCTTGTTTGGAAGGACCATATTCTCCCACACCTTATCCCTATCAACCTGTCTTTGAAATATGAGAGCTGCCTTGCCAGTTACGGAATCAGTGGCTGATGCATGTTTTGGAGCGTGTTGCAGACCTGTTAATTTGGAAGCCAGAGAGAAGGTTTGGGTTTAATTCGTTCTGTCAAGGGATTATTTCTCCGAATGCGGTCGAGTGTCCCTGCTTGACAGAATGCAATTAGTATTTAACACATCCGTCACCTTTAGTGTAGAACACCAAGCAGCAGATGTAACACTGCCTCCCCTTAGCCTTCTTCCAATTTTGCACTGAATGTTTTCATGCGGTCCAAACTCTCCGAATAAACTCTGCGTATGGAATCCTGCACTGATGATCGCCAGGCAAATCTTGTGGGGAGCATCGTTGAAGATTTGAAAGTAATATGCTGAACTTATCCGTTGGATGTGTAATATAATCTGTGGGGCCAGAGAAAGCCTTCAATAAATTTTAAGGGAATGGCTAGAGAAAGTTTCCTCTGGATTGTTATAGGCTGCTTCATGTTCTCTTTTTCCAGAGAAAGTGAGAGATTGGGTTTTGGGTTTACATTTATATCTCACCTTGCCTTGAGGAGCTCAAAGTGACTTCTGTGGAGTTTTTTTTTTATTTTTATCCTCAACTGGGAGTGAGGCAGTCTCGGGAATTAATTCAAAAACATCTGGAGAACTGCATAGCTGAGGGGCACTTGAATCTGAGATTCCTGATCCTAGTATGAGACTTTAACCATTATGCTTTTCTTTCCCAACTTGATTATTGTTAGAATGTGTGGATTTTATTTCCCAGGATGTTGGAGCGCCTATTCATGAGAGTTTGTCCATATATCTAGACATTACCTGATTGAAAAAAGTTGGCCAGTTATTACACTGGCTCTAAGTATATTTAGATGGGCAACCTTTATATTAGGAGGATAGGAACGATATTTTGTCTCAAGATATGGAAACAGGCAGTTACTGGGCAGAGCCAATGCCAGCACTGGAAAATCCCAGAGTACAAAAGGCGTTGGCTTATTGCTCCCCTCCCCATGTGTGTCTTTCATTTTTGTCACTTATTTCTCCATCTCTGTCCTTGCCCAGGAAAAGGTGGAAGGAAAAGGGCTGATTGCTCTGTTACGGTGGGATCTTGATACTCAATGGCTTTGAAATTCATCAGATTTGGCACTCGATGCATTTTGACATGGAAATGTTGTCCTGGTACTCATCTTTTGTTTGGTACTTGACACACAAGCTAGAACTTGTCAGTGTCAGCTGCTTTGTGACTCACTAGGTGATTCCTTATGGGAAAATATTTTTGGTGCTCATTGTTTTGGGAACTCATCGCACCTCCTAGAACCAATGAACGATGAGTACATGTTGTTGTTGTTATTTTTAACCATTTAGTCATGCCTGATTCTTGGTGGGTTGATGGGCAAAAGTTTTCCAGGCTACCCTATCAAACATAGCTTCTTTTAATTGTTTGTTCAACTTTGCATCAGATTTATGTTATCAAATCAGGGTGTTTTTTGCTTTCCTCCTCTTCCTCCTCCTCTTCCTCCTCCTCCTCCTCCTCCTCCTCCTCCTCCTCCTCCTCCTCCTCCTCCTCCTCCTCCTCCTCCTCCTCCTCCTACTCCTCCTCCTCCTCTTCTTCTTCTTCTTCTTCTTCTTCTTCTTCTTCTTCTTCTTCTTCTTCTTCTTCTTCTTCTTCTTCTTCTTCTCTCTCTCTCTCTCTCTCTCTCTCTCTCTCTCTCTCTCTCCCCTATAGTTTTGGAAAGAGTTTGAAGAGTTTTGGCAATAGATTAAAGCCACCCAAAATGAAGCTGTTGACTATAGATAGATTTGTTTATCTATTTATTTATTGGCCCAATCTTGCAAGATTGGATTTCCACATAAGGAGGAGGGTTCTGATGGTTTCTAATATTTGGTTTATATGCAGATTAGATAAACAAGCCAAGATGATCTCATCTGTGCTAAAATATCTCGTGGGATTCATTTGAATGGCTATTTTTGAAAAAAAAAAACAGTTGTAACTTCACTTTCTTCCTTGCCCTCCCAAAGAAAAAGATTGACGCCCAAGAATTATGGTGGTCACCTGCCTCCATTCCAGAAGATGGTCTTCCATTGGAAGACTAGCCAAAACCAATCCAGTTGAAAGATGGGAGGGTCAGATCTTACGGTTGGCATCCACTTGGGCTGCTGATGGCAGAATGCACTGATTCACTGGCCAGTGCCTTCTCCCTGTGAAATCACGACAATCCTTCATAAATTAATTAATTGTACCCTTTCAACTATATGCAAAAATCAAGATGTCAAAACTTAATGAAATTCTGCTTTTTGGGGAGAAAGGAAATATGTTTTGCTTATTTGGGACAATGCATTGATCAACTGATTATGTACCATCAAGTTGTTTTTGATTCCTACCAACCACATAGATAGATTTTTCTCCAAAATGATCTATCCTTAATGTATTCTTTCATGTCTCCCAATGGGGCACTCATCGGCACTGTAACTGAGGGTCATCCACCTTGCTGCTGGTCATCCTCTTCCCTTTCCTTCTACCTTTCCCAGCATCAGTACCATTTCCAGATAATGTGTCCCAAGTTCACGTAATGAATCCCAAGTAGGGTAATTTGAGTCTGTAATCTGTGTCTTGAATAAGAACTCTGGGTTATTTTTTTTTCCGGTGAGCCATCAGTTTGTTTTCTTGGTTTCCACAATATTCTCAAGAATGTTGTCCAACATCAAAGTTCAAAAACATCAATACTCATCATATCCTACTTCTTCAAAGTGCAACATTTTCTTCTATAATGTCACCGTGAACCCTTGCTTGATTCTGCTCTTTGTAGATGTTTGAATATCTTTCCCAAAGCCTTCATGCTTGCCCTACCAAGTGCTAGTCTGTGGTATTTCTTGATTGCTCATTCCTTTATTACTGATGGTTAATTCAAAAAGGCAGAAGTTCTCCACCACTTCAGTACCAGTTAGCTATTGTGGGGAATATTACAGCTGCTGTTATTACAATCTCTATCCAACATAGAGCAATTAGCTGAACAATCTAGGAATTGCTCAATAAAATATCTGCAGGGCACCATGCTGGGAAAAGTTGAGCCACACAACACACAGGTTTGCTTACGTATTATTTATTGAATAATCCATAATGGGCTAAGTTCATACAACACACTAAACCACCAACCACTGTTTGCAAACCCCACAGCCCTGCAAAATTGTGATGCATTTTTTTTTGCTTTTATTTTGGGTATTGTGTGAACTTGGTTTTGTTAGCAAATAATGATTAATCAACCTACCTTTTGCACAATAAACAAAGCCAGCTTTCATATCCTGGTTCCCACACAGTGTTAAGCCATAAATCCTGGTCAACGTATTAATGTCCAGATTCACACAATACCTTAAGCCAGTGATGGTGAACCTTTTAGAGACTGAGTGGCCAAACTGCAACCCAAAACCCACTTATGGATCCTCGAGTGCTGGGTGGGTGTGGCCCATTGGGTGGGTGTGGCTGTGGTGATAATGGCAGACTGGGTGGGACTAAAAAGTTCAATCAATCAATTTCAACTTTGCAAGATTTTTTTTTCCGCGAGAAGTTGAAATTGACTGATTGAACCTTTTTTTTTTTTTACACACGGCAGTGGAGGCCTAAAGCGAAAAGGTTTTATAAAACCCAGCTGAAGGCCTAGGACTGGGGTGACGGCGTGCGTGCTCACAGAGAGGGCTCTGAGTGCCACCTCTGGCACCTGTGCCATAGGTTCGCCATCACTGCCTTAAGCCAAAACCGAATGAATCCCATTATAAACTGAGCCAGTGTAAAGAGATGGGCATGCGTGGGTCATATTTCTGTAAAAAATATTCACCCTGTCTTCTCTCTTGCTGTCCCTATCCTTACTTTGTCATTATCAGCTGTCAGTAATAGCAGTTTTTTTCTGCATCTGGACCAAACTGCTGGTTAAAATAAGATATTTTGGTGATCTTGGAGAGAAGATCCTCCATGGGAAAAATTGGAAAGGCTGTGGGGCAAAAGACAAGTTTCTTTTGCTCTTTTGCCCAGGGCATCCTTTGAACAGCAGCCAGGCAATTACAGCTTTCCTTTCCTACTTGTGGGGCTGCAGCCCTCTTCATCCCTCGCCACATTAATGACTGGGATTATGTGGTCCAGCACATATGGAAGAGGGCTGCAACTGCTATGTGAGAA